ATTAAAAAAAAAAATGGTGCCAGTTACCACAAGAGTAACAGAACTGTACTGTTTTCTGGGATTTTGTTTTTTATTACTTTTTTTTTTTAATGGAGAGTGCTGGATCTCTCTATAATTTTGTTCAAATGACTGCAGAACCTGGAAAAGCTGTTGCTGCTATTGATGCATAACATACTGCCATTATTGATCTATATCTATATCTAGATATAATTTCAATTTTTGGAAAGTTTAGCTGTGCTGTCAACTTTGGAAAAAAGTATCCCAGTTTTACTGTGTTGAATTGGCATTGTACAAAAATTAACAGCCATATTGGTCTAGAAATGTTGAACTTAATTTTTTTCCGTTTGTACAGGGGTAACACACTGTATTAAATATGTAAGGTCTTAAAAAAAAAAGAAATGATTTTGAGAGCCCATCCCAGGTGAAGGGATGCTCTCTTGGCCTGGACACATGGGGAATGGCCTAGGCCTGGCCCAGGATGATGTGGTTGACTTTGGGGAGCTCCTTTTGAGGGCCTTGCCCTGCCTAGGGAGTAGAGGGAGGATGGCTAGGGGCAGGTAGGATGTTGGGGGGAAGGGGAGAGAGAGGGAGAAGGGATTGACATGTGAAGCAAGCTTGTTCCTAATTTGAACTAATAAAAGAATAAAATTAAAAAAAAAAAGAAGCCAGGCACACACCTTTAATCCCAGGACTCAGGATTAAGAGGTAGACAGTCTCTATTAGTTCAAGGCCACACTGACTACATAAAATTGATCTAGCCCTAAAAGAAACAGCTCACACAAAGGTGATCTCTCAGCACCTGGGATCACATGCCTCTAATCCTAGCACTAGGGAGGTGGAGACAGGAGGATATAGCTGGGCAGAGAAAGGAATATAAGCAGGAGGAGACAGGAATTAAAAGCCTTTTGCCCCTGAGGATTGTGGAGACAGGACTGACATTTCAGCTAGCTAGAGGTAAGATCTATGGGCTTGGCTGCTTTGCTTTGATGATCTCTGGCTTGAAGTTTGAACCCCACTATCTGTTTCTGAGTCTTTTATTTATTGTGCTACAGTACTTTTCTTTGCAATACTGCTCAGTAGTAAGAGGTTAACTCCATCACAGGTCAATAAACTGGGGAGAGTAAGACTGACTGTATAAACTGGTTTAACTTGACAGTTGTTTTTCATCTACAATGACAAACTTGGGGCTTCATTGTTCACTTCCCAGAGGCTATTTAGATTTCCCTATCTCTAAATCAAAATTAACTTTAACAATTTATTAACTATCTGCTTCATGTATGAATAGCTATGTTGTAGGTATTTGAGTTTTCCTACTGACTTTATTCCATGATTATTAATTAGGCACCATTAGGCAACGATATAGTAACACCTTAAAATGTCATTACTCAAAAAATATATTAACCATATGTCCATTGAAAGCATAGGAAAGAGGCTGGGTAGATGCCTCCGTCAGTAAAGTGCTAAAGTGATACATGCCTATAATCTTAGAGATGGGGAGGCAGAGAAAAAAGGATCTCCGGGGCTTGCTGGCCATCCATCCTAGCTAAAGCAGAAAAAATAATATCCAGGTTCACTAAGAGACTATCTCCAAGTAACTGGCTGATTCACTGAGATGAAAGTAGCATTTCTTTACAAGCACACTTGAAAATAAGAGTGTATTGATTCATATGAAAATTCAAAAATTCATTTAAAAAGCATTACCGTATCATTCAAAGGAGAAAGACATACATTGTACAACCTGAAGGTAACCCAAATCATATTTAACTTGTTCAGAGATTAACTCAATAAACTCATATTTCCTTTGATCAAGAGAGAGAGAGAGAGAGAGAGAGAGAGAGAGAGAGAGAGAGAGAGAGAGAGAGACCAAAAATAAAATGGAACTAACTGAGAAAGGCACCCAGTGACTTCTGGCTTCATATGTACACACATACATATGCATGCACACACATGCATACATACAGCAACCACAGAAAGAGAAACAATAAGATACATAAACTTATTAAATTAGAACTGTACAATTTTGTTTAATATCTTGATAGTATACTTTAAGTAATACAGTGTTAAAGGTAAAATATAATACTTTGAGCCCACTGAATTTTAATTTTTTTCCTTGGTACATTAATTTTTGTCTGTCTGTCTGTCTGTCTGTTTCAGTTGGCGAGTTAGGGTTTTGTTTGGGGGAGGAGGTGTTTTGTTTTGTTGGATAAAGCCACCTGTAGCACAGGCTGGCCTCAAACTCTAAGCCTGGCCTTGAACTCCTAATCTACCTTTTCTTCATCTCCCAAATGTTGAGATTACTGATATAAGCATACAAATGGCTAAATACTACATTTATTTACACAAAAATGTTAAAACATTTTAAAAGAAAAAAGCCAAACAAAACTTAGGCATTTTGTGACCAGCTTCTACTCATGCACTTTAAAAAGCTTCCTCAAGGTTCTCTGCAGCCTTATAATTCAAAGTATGTCCAGAGTCCAAAGACACCATCTTCACATAGAACTTTAGTGAGAATGCAGCTCTACCAGGCTCTTCACGACCTGCATCTTAATGTGACTCCCAGGAGAGTCTTAAGCACACATATGTTCAAGAAGGGCTGTTCTACAATGGATGTTCACTTGATGCCTGTGGTCAAATGAACTTCCTAAATCCTTGAACTTACTTTCTCACATGAATACATATATCTTCCTAGGAAGAGACTGTGTTTGAATCAAACTCTCAAAGCAATATGTGATCACAAATACATTAAAAACCTTGCCCTGTAAGAGTTTATGCCACAGTTACCCTGCTCTTGGATTCAAAGTTACTTCAAAAACTATGCTGCTCTCAATGAGGTCTGCTGAAGAACGACAAGAATGAAGGTCAGAACGTCACAGTAGGTCACGAAAGACCTTATCTGAAGAATTTATTCACAACATGCAAGAACTATGCCAAGAAGCCAGTTTGGAGACATCTAAACAAATAATTCTCTACATGAGGTTTGAGATTAAGAATGTGCACTTGAAGAAGATTCAAACTGAGAAGTAAATAAATATAAGGTAGGGAGGGTTTTTTTTTTTTTTCCTTAAGACAGAATGCCATTAGACAGTGAAGTGCTGAATTCTTTTTCTAAGAGCTCAATCAGCAGATCTCTAATGTGGACTGGTATCTGACTGGGATATGGGGTCATTTTAGAATACTACCTTCCTAGTACATTCCTCTAATACTTTCACTATGAGGCTACATTTCATTCCCCCTACCTTCTTCATTCTATCTGCATCTCACCAGCTAAAGCAAAGGAACATGGCACACAGATTCAAAGGGATGACCTTGGGAATGCCAGTGAATTAGTAATAAAGACTGGCTCCTACACAGAAGAATCATAGTTGATACCACAGAACTGGGTGTGTATTTCATTCTCTGCTTTTACCCTACAGCTGCCTCATCTTTGTGTATATTCTCTTAGAGTACAGATTATGACTAGCTTGTTTCCATAAGCCACAGTGCAAATTTCACTCCATTAATCAATAGCCAAAACATTAAAAAAGGGTTACCTCATTTTTATAAACATGCATGTGAGCTGAAGTTAGAGTCAGCTGTAACATGCTACCCACCCCACCCAATCCCAAACCCCCACCATTGCATGTGGATGCTGTGAACCAAACTCTGGGCTTTGTGCACGAACAGCAAGCACTTTTAACCACTGAACCACTTCAGTCTAACTCATCTTCCTTGATAGGGCGATGCGACATTCCTATGCATTTGTGAGAAACTGCCTGAGACATTTAAACTTCAACACTAATATTTTATAGATGACTTGGCTATTCATTTTTCATTCAAAACATCTTAAATAGCCTTGGTTTTTAAAAAATATACAAGGAATAATAATAGTTAACTACAATGGAAGCCAGCAAGGAAGAGTAATGAATATAAGATAAAAACTAGACTTTTGTTAATTACCTTTTTTATGTATTAGATACTTATGTAACTCTACAGATTAAGAACTACTATAATTATTTGACAGATTAAGATACCAATTAAGCAACTTCCTTAAGATTACAAAGCTAGACAGTGACACGTTCTTGAGCAGTTTAAAGATCAAAGGGAAGCAAAGAAGACAGGAAGGTGTAAGAGGACAGCAGTGGTGAACAGAGTGTCCCTGGTTTTACCTAGAGAAACAGTGGAAAGGAGACAAATAGGCACTAAGCACAGGGCTGAGTGCCCCTTATGCATGCCTGGGACCATTTTGGAATGGGTGATAAAACAACTGCTAACATTTTTAAGTAAAATGTAGCCCAGAACTTGAATAGTTTGATACCAAAGTTGCTGTTTCCAATCATTGTATGAACAAACAAAACCTAATCTGGGTTAGGTTAGTGTTTGTATTTAGAAAAAAAAATATTTTAAAGTCTGGATTCTACATGGAAGAGAAAACATGCAATATATACATATATATATATATATATATATGTATATATTGCATATATATATGATGAAAATTAGCAGGGGACATATTTGGAAGGAGAAGGCACCAGTGAAGGACATTAGGAAACAAAACAGGGTAATAAGGGGCTGAGTATGAACAAAGTATAGAAAAAGTATAGAATATACTTCTATAAAAATGCCATAAAGAAGGCTATCATTTTATACAATAGATACAAGTAAAAAGAAAAAGAAGAGAAGAACTAAGTAAGTAACAACTTTTGTTGATCTCAAGACACTGTCTCAGACTCAGTGGAATCCATTTACTATCCTGCTTTAAGTCAGGCCAGCACCCCTCTTCCCTTCCTGGATGGAGTAGCCTATCAGTAGAGAATCAAAAATAATGATTTTTTTCAAAAAAATATTACATTTAAGATGTGAATTACCTTTGTGCAGCTTCAATTTAAGACAGGGCTCAATTAACTTTTAATGCCACAGCTAACGTTCTAAAAAAATCACACAGCTATTATGTGAATAAGTACATTTCAGACATCAAATACTGAACCTAAAAATTACATTTCCCCAACTTGAATATTTCTTACCTCTTCATCATCTTCCTCATCTTCAACATCCAGAATTCCTGAGTCCTGTTCAGACTTTGGGCTTGTGCTCTCCATCTCTGCATCAAAGATTGTATAAACATCTTTCTTAGATTTTCTCTTGCTACCTATTCTAGGCTGTTGCAAGACAATGTTATCCAGGTTTCTTTGCTGTTGGGCCTAGGATATAGAGAAAAATACAAGAAATAATGAAACAAAGAAGGGAAAAAAAAAACTCAAGCTTCCAATGAACTAATTTTGAATAAATCAATAACTTACATAAAAAACAAGATTTCTTAATATATAAATATTTAGACCTAAAAGTAAAATTAAATGTAGCAATGTATACATGTTGTTTGAAACAGGGTCTTGTGTACCCAGGCTGGCTCAAAATTTGCTATGGCACAGAGGAATGCCCAGGATCCTAATCCTCCTGTCTCCACCTCCTAGGTGCTGGGATTCCAGGTCTGCATCTCCAAATTCAGTTTAACATATGCCCCTTTGCCCTGAAGTTATCCTGTATTAACCATTTTTGAAAATCAAATTTGTTGATACTATCATATGTCTTTTTAAATATTGGCTAAACAAACAGTAACAACTCTACCCACACCATTTTCACCTGCATAGCCAAGAGTATGGTATAAATGCCTAGTGGTTATCTCTTACAAAGAAAGGCAATACTGAAATGACAAAAATGGGACAGCAATCCGGGCATTGGTGGCGCACGCCAGCACTTGGGAGGCAGAGGTAGGTGGATCTCTGTGAGTTCGAGGCCAGTCTGGTCTCCAGAGCGAGTGCCAGGATAGGCTCCAAGGCTACACAGAGAAACCCTGTCTCCAAAAACCAAAAAACAAGGGACAGCAACTTAGAATTAGCTGTAATAAATTTAAGGAGGAAGTCTTTTATAACAGCTATTTGTATATGAAACCTATAAAATATAACCAGGAGGATGAATTATCTTAAAACCAATATTTTCTCAGCAAGTATTCTGAACTAGCAAATGCAGCCTATATGCGAGGGGGGGGGGTGTTAAAAAAAGGAAGTATAAACCCTTAACGTAGCAAAAATAGCTACAATGGCAGTGTACTTTAAATAGACCCAAAGAGAGAGAATGTCCCACTCAGAGTCAACAATATAACCTTTAACCACACAGTGCAGCTACAAGTGACCTTAGCCACTCTCAGAAAATTCAGGCTAAGACAAAGGGTTCACTCCAAGTCAAACAACAATGGGCAATTAGCAGAAGCTCAAAGTATGATCTCCTAAGTTCCAGACATTTGTCCTCCACTACATGCCAGCAACCCAAGAGCAGGGCAAATATTTTCCAAAATAAGGGAGGGCTCTGTAGGCATCTCAACAGACACAATGCATGTTGAAAATCCTTGAGAGGCAGAGACAGGAGATCCCTGGAGCAATATGGATAATGAGATTAGCCAAGTCAGAAAGCTCTAGGTTCGAGTGAGAAATTAATACTCTATCTATCTATCTATCTATCTATCTATCTATCTATCTATCTATCTATCTATCTATCTATCTATAGTGAGGAGTAATCAAGGAAGAAACCCAACACCAATGTAGGGCCTCCATAGCACATGTGAACACACATACATATCACACACATAAAAAAAGCTCAGAGTGACTCTGTTCTTAAAAAATTTGGGTAGTTTGGTTAAACCCAGAATGTTCCAGTAAGTTTCTTCATGAAACTTTGTTTTTCCCTACCATGCCAAAGTACAAGACTTGAACTCAAGACTTCCTGAAAACCAATATATTAATCAACATGTTCCTTCTTAATGCTAAGTAGAAATGAGATCATGAGAAAAACAAGTGACAATGAATCTAAATGAGATTAAGGAATTCAGGGCAAATCTTCAGTATTAGAAATTAGTTAAGGTAGTGGTCAAATGAAACAACTATAATAAGACAGAAAAACTTGAACTATGTGGGTTAGTTTCAGCCAAAACAAAATGAAAAGAATCTACATTCCAGAGATTTGAATCAATGCACAAACTTGTTTCTCTACATATTATCCACTGACATTCCGGATTCATTACATCAAATTCATGGCTTCAGTAACAAACCTAGAGAAGGACCACAAAGAATTTAGGTCTATACAAAAGAAACACATTCGTGATCTCGTTAAGTACAGCATTCTTTCTACACCTCTCAGTGAGATAGCCTCCTGCACTGTACCTACTGCAGACCACACAGAAGGAAAAAGGAATGGGGAACTCCCACACTTTCCTACTGAGTAAACCTTCAATTGTAGAATGACAGCTTTCTCCCTTCTTTCTCTACCTTCTTTCAGAACACCAAAGGCAAAGCTGTTCATAAGTATGTCTTGACATCAAATCCCAAGCAAATTAGTGTTCTTTCACAATCAATCAGATACTGCTAGTTTAGCAGAAACAATCTAGAGGAGTCATACTAGTCACTGACATTAAACCTGAGACCATAAGTACCTAAGGAAGTAACTTTAAATTTTCAATTTTTGTAATTTTTTAATTTTTGTTTGTTTTGTTTTGTTTGTGGTGGTGGTGAGGCTGTTGCTGACATGGTTTTCCTGTCAATTTAGGAAAACAAGACAGTCAGTGCCAGTCACTATTGTTGAAGTTCTGAGGACCTGACTAGTAGTTACAGGCTTTTTTTGTTGTAGTCTAAAGCATAAGAGCTGGTGCTCATGGTCCAAGCAATCACTTCTCCATGTCTGTAAAGGCTCCATCACAGATAACCTGCCACACAAGCAGTCCAGATGAAAATTCAAGACTTCATATGGAACAATCACATAAATACTCAGATATTACCATTATGGATGTCCATTCAAATCACCATCTTTAAAAAATTATGAGATTAGAAGGAGGTGGTGAAGACAAAATACACATATAAATAAATAGACACAGATCATCATGAAAACATGGCATTAAATTTTATGAAGAATTTCACTCAGAACCTTTCAGGATTCTTTCCTAACATGCTAAGCAACTTTACCAAGAACATTTATACTCAGAGCTGCTACAGCAACAACTAACTAATTTCTAGAAACTAGCCTGGACTATGAGAAAAGGAATACAAAGCACACAGTATCAGTGACACCTTAACATCAGTGTCTTCACTTTCTTCCTGTCTAAACTTTCAGGAGATAATTTTCATTTTCTTGATTACTTCATATCTATTCTTCCTTGAGAATTCCTCAACTCTTGTTCTCTCTCACTTCTACAAGACTCAGCAGCACATCTCCAGTTTACTATATTGCTGGTATTTTCTGATATCAGTTTGATTCCAACATAATGAAACCCATCACCTCCACCACCACCCCAACCAAAGCTCCTGTTCACTGTATATGCAAATTAGGAGTGAAGAGTACAGGAATGCAAGTCCAAACTTCAAAGTCTCTCCCACTTGGGTCAGACCAAATCCTAAAACACTAGGGATATTTCCACTTTTATACTCACATTATTTCTTTACCTGAAAATGTGACTGAATCCAACATTTTCTTCAAAATCCAAACAAAATTCTCCTATATAAAGTCTTCTATAGCCAGGCATAACAGTGCATACCTAAAATCCTGGCACTTAGAAGATGAAAGTCAGAGGACTATAGTAAGTTCAAGGCTAGGTAAAAGACCCTGTCTTTTAAAAAAGATGAATAAAAGAGGTAGAACAAGAACAGAAAGAGGGGAGTGAGGAAGGGAGGCAGGGAGGGAGGGAGGGAGGGAGGGACAATCAAACATGTATTAAATGCATATTGGATGTTGTGTGAAGCAATTTCAATGCTGAGGAGACAATGGAGAAATGCGAAGGAGAACAGAAAATTACAAGGTCAGCTTTACAATCTAGACAATTTGTCTAGGTACAGAGGGCAGTCAACAGTGGAGAACTAAACGCAGGAAAAACAACATAGATCATTGTAACAACCCAAATAACAATGATGAGAACTAAGTATGGTAGCAGTACACACAGGAGACAATTGATTTGCTTGCCGAACATGATAGAGAGGAAAAGAAATGAGAAAAATTCCAAAGAATTCTGGCCTTAAGGGCTAGATAATGGAGTTATCTCCAGAATAGAGATCATGAAAATTATAGGCTGAATAAAGAATCACTAAGATGAGATCTGTAAGCTTGCTGGATATTCAAATGAAAATACTAAACAATGCTACTTAGCTAGAAAATAAGAAATGCTTGTTTTCATAATAAGAATTGCCACGGTAGGAATCCCCAGTCCAGACACCTAACATACAAAGAGTAAACTGAGTGAGAATGTGGTCTGGCCCCTAAAATTAAAGTATAACCTACTAGAAAGAGGTAAGGGTTGTGCACATAGCCCAAGCATAACCTAATGTGAACTGTGACCTTAAGATGTCACTATTAACATTATCAGCTGTCAGAATGCCTAGGAAGCATCCTATACACACCATTAAGTAAATGCTTATTGTGAAATGCTAGTTCCAGCTCCCAGGACATCTATCAGTAAGATTCAGAGTTCAAAACACAAGACTCAAAACCCAAAGGCATGTGTGTTTATCAACACAACACTGACCTCTAGTGGTTTGGAGTATACACACATGGCCCTTAGAAACTAATTGAAAGAAGGAGCTTTATGCTTAGAAGCCAGAGACTTCTTAAAGTTACTGCACAAAGGATGAGTAATACAGGATTTGGGTTTTTTTTTTTTTAAGTTTTATGGAATAAAAAGTCTTTAAGTCCAAACCTTGAAATTTACTGATTCTATAACCAAGGTGGGTTTGTTTTGCTTCTCTGCAATAGACTCACCTATCAAAAACTAACAATCAAACCTAGGAGTGCCAGGAAGACTGAACAAGATAGTGCATAGGAAAGACCTTGAATTGCAACAAAACAAAATACCCCACCTGCCTTCCTCTGAAAATGACACGAACCTACATCACTGTCTACTATGGAAGCATGAGACCTAACAATGCTCAGATGCACAGTCACTGGAGCAACTACTGCTGACGCACATTAGAACTCACGCACTGCATCAATACAAACCGCAAGCACAGTGTGTACATACAACATTGCTACAGATCCCGTGGGCGTCATCTCTCATCCTGGTCTCATCAGTAACCTGGGCTACAAATTCAGAAGTAATGGAACATAACCTCAGGGGCTCAGAATACCTACAACTTCCAACGCCAGGGCTTTTCTAAAACAGCTTAGCACT